CAATGAAATCATGGGAGATGAAATCCATGCATCGTAAAATTGCTGAGATGAGAAACACTGGTATAGTTCATCATTCTTGTGAGAGTAGAAATACCAGGAATTAAAACATTCAGCACTTTAAATGAAAGTTTAAGACTCGTTTTTCCTGGATGTTACATCTTTATTTCCCATAATCTGGAATATATCCTCTGCTTTTCTGTTTTATTTAAAGCGCTACTTTCTACTGGTTTCTGAGTCTTTCTAATCCAAACATATATTATGCACTGGAGTGTCAAAGAACTAGTTTTATACATCAACCTACACTAATGTTGTAATATAATACTTCAGTTAGCTGACAAATAACTTAATGTGCCAAGATGTAGGAAACTCAGAAATCATGTCACTCACATCATTTTGAAACGTTTAACCTAGGTCAAACAAGTAACCGCAAGCTCCCAATCCTTGTTGATATTCTGTATCCCATGTCAACAGTTTAGTAAATTTACTATGAACAAGTACCTGTTTTGTTATGCTTATGCCCTGACTTAATAATAATAATAATAATAAAGTTGGAAGGGACCTTGGAGGTCATCTAGTCCAACCCCTTGCTCAGGCAGGAAACCCTATACCATTTCAGAAAAATGGCGGTCCAGTCTCTTCTTAAAAACTTCCAGTGTTGGAGCATTCACCGCTTCTGGAGGCAGGTTGTTCCACTGGTTAATTGTTCTAATTGTCAGGAAGTTTCTCCTTAGTTCTAGGTTGCTTCTCTCCTTGATTAGTTTCCATCCGTTGCTTCTTGTCCTACCTTCAGGCGCTTTGGAGAATAGCTTGACTCCCTCTTCTTTGTGGGAAAGCCTGAGATATTGGAACACTGCTATCATGTCCCCTCTCATCCTTCTCTTCATTAAAGAGATACCCAATTCCAGTAACCATTTCTTATATGTTTTAGCCTCCAGTCCCCTAATCATCTTTGTTGCTCTTCTCTGTACTCTTTCTAGAGTCTCAACATCTTTTTTACATCCTGGTGACCAAAACTGGACGCAGTATTCCAAGTGTGGCCTTACCAAGGCATTGTAAAGTGGTATTAACACTTCACGTGATCTTGATTCTATCCCTCTGTTAATGCAGCCTAGCACTATGTTGGCTCTTTTGGCAGCTGCAGCACACAGCTGGCTCATATTTAAGTGATGATTGTCCACTAGGACTCCAAGATCCCTCTCACAGTTACTACTATTGAGCAAGGTACCACCTATACTATACCTGTACATTTGGTTTTTCTTGCCTAAATGTAGAACCTTACTTTTTTCACCATTGAATTTCATTTTGTTAGATAGCGCCCAGTGTTCAAGTCTGTCCAGATCCTCCTGTATCCTAAGCCTGTCTTCTGGAGTGTTGGCTATTCCTGCCAGCTTGGTGTTGTCTGCAAATTTGATGAGTTTCCCATCTATCCCTTCATCCAAATCGTTGATGAAGATGTTGAAGAGCACTGGGCCTAGAACAGAGCTCTGGGGCATCCCACTATACACTTCCCTCCATGTAGATGCAGTTCCATTGAGGACCACACGCTGAGTACAGCCGGTCAGCCAGCTACGGATCTATCTGGTGGTGATGCTGTCTAACCCACATTTTTCTATCTTATCAAGTAGTAGGTTGTGATCTACTTTATCAAATGCCTTACTGAAGTCCAAGTAAATTATATCCATAGCATTCCTCTGGTCCACTAATTTTGTCACTTGGTCAAAGAATGCAATAAGATTTGTCTGGCATGATCTGTTTTTGACAAACCCATGTTGGCTTTTAGTAATGACTGTGTTTGCCTCTAGGTGTTCGTTGATTCGTTATTTGATTATCTTTTCCAGAATCTTCCCAGGTATTGAGGTCAGGCTGATAGGTCTGTAGTTTCCTGGATCTATTTTTCCCCTTTTTTGAAGATGAGAACTACATCAGCTCTTTTCCAGTCCTCTGGTAGTTCCCCAGTATCTTTGAAAAATATAGTTCAGTGGTTCTGAGATCACATCTGCCAGTTCCTTGAGAACCTTGGGGTGTAATCCATCTGGTCCTGGTTTGAACTCGTCTAGGCTGGACAGGTGCTCACTTACCATTTTCTTGCCTATCTTAACTTGTGTTTCTAATCTATTTTTTATGGTACTGTTTTTGATAGGTTGGACTGCTTTTTCCCTTTGTGTAAAGACAGATGTAAAAAACGAGTTAAATAGCTCTGCTTTCTCCATTGCTTGTCACCTTATCACTTTCCCCCACTAATGGACCAATCATTTCCTTAACTTTTTTCTTGTGTTTTACATGTTGAAAGAAGCTTTTTTTTTTGTTATTTTTGACTTTGGTCGCAAGCCTTAATTCATTTTGAGCCTTAGCTTTCCTCACTTCATCTTTGCAGGCTTGGGCTATTTGCTGATATTCTGCCTTAGTTATGTGCGCCTCTTTTTATACTTGTCCTTTTTATCTTTCAATTTATCAGAGAGTTCTTTATGCAGCCATGCTGGTTTCTTTTGAGAGCTGTTATTGTTTTTCTTTGTTGGTATCATGCTAGACTGGGCTTTTATTATCTCACTTTTCAAAATTTCCCAAGCTTCTTGAGTTGTTTCCCCCTTGAGGATTCTCATCCATGGAATCCTTCCCAAGCTCTCTTTAAGTTTATTGAAATTAGCTCTCTTGAAGTCCAAGACTCTAGTTTGACTGTGTTCTATTACTTGTGCTTCCATAATGTTGAATTCCAATATTGCATGATCACTTCCCCTCAAGGTTCCTGTGACTTCAACACCTTCTATCATTTCATATCTGTTAGTGAGAATTAGATCCAATATGGCTAATCCCCTAGTTCCCTTCTCTACTTTTTGGGAGACTTTTTGTCTGCTAGTTTGTCAGGAATCTGTTTGATCTTCCACTTGGTGCAGAGTTTGTCTCCCAGTTGAGGGTAATTAAAGTCCCCCATTACTATTGTGATGTGCTTCCTATATACCTTAGTTACCTGACTAGCAAAAGGTTCATCTATTTCCTCTGTTTGTTGGATGGCCTATAGTATACACCTATGGCAATGTCATTTTTCTCCCTTTTATATTGACCCAAATGCATTCAAGACAGTTTTCATCATTGTTGTGCTCTATTTCTGTAGAGATGTAGTTATTTCTTATATAGAGAGCAACTCCACCTCCTCTTTTGTTTGGTCTGTTTCTTTTAAATAATTTAAATCCCTCTAGCTGTGTGTTCCATTTGTGGGTTTCATCCCACCATGTTTCTGTAATGGCAACAATATCATATCTGCCCTCATTTACCTGAATTTCTAGTTCACCCTGTTTACTGTTCATACCCTGTGTTTACTTTCTACATAACCTGTGTGGTGCCTGAGTTCCCCTATTTTCTTACCACCTGTTTGGTTAGTGCACTTTGTGTGGCACTCGCTGTTAAAAGCTTGATTTTGCTTCACAGCAAGGTTGATATGTTACATGCACTGATAACCCTATAATTTTTAGATTGCTGGGGCCAGGGATGTTCTGTATCAATTAAATCACTGTCCCCGTTGTTTAATTTAAATATTCCTCCAGAAAATCTGTGAATTTATTGCCAAGTAATTCAGTCCCTTTCTTGGATGGATGCAAACCATCTCTTTTGTACATTTTTT